CCCGCCATACTGGCCCTTCGTGATCTTGATCACGGCTGGTAGACGGTACTTGGAGACGAACTCACGCAGGTACGTCGCCTCCTCGGCCCAGCGTGCCGCTGCGACGACGATCTGACCGTCGGTCGCGGCCATCGCGGTCGTTCGGCCGGCACGGCGCGACGCCTCCGCGATCCCGCGTCCCCCCGCGCGAGATCGGGCCCGAGAGACAGGGCCCGGCGATCAGGCCCCCAACGACAGCTGAACGCTACTGCTGCTCCTGCTGCCCGCGTGGCGCGCCTCTATGCTCCATCTGCAAGCAAAAGAACGATCACGCTTTAAATACTTTGCGTGACGTACTTGTTTTGGGCGTGTATGATAATGAAGACGCGTACGTATGCGAAGTAGACACGATTCTTGGAAAATGTTGCAATTTAATCTCTAATTCTAATTTGCTGATAACCTTCAAAGATATTTTCCTATGTGGATTAAAATATTGGAATTAAAAATGCGTTTCATAGAATATCATAAGAAAATTATACGCGTAGATTCTCTTAACATAGATTATAAAACGCAGAATATGTATATAATTTAGTTCTATCTATACTCTACTTGCTCATCCGTAATAATATAGATGATAATAATAATTAATCCTGAAGCTTCTGTTAGTAGAGCTCGTGTAACTAATCTCTGTTGCGAAAATATGAAAGGTGCCCGCCTTTACCATGTTAATTTCGACAGACGAATGCCTGCCTTTCGGCACCGCTCGCCATTTCCCCACCCGTTTGATGCACTTTTAATGCATCCTTTCCCACGTGGAGCACAGTTGCGCACTATTGCGGTTCCGTGAAGCGTCCCGCGCCCGCGCGAGAGCTAATGCCGATCCATGGCTATAATATACGCAATGACCCGTCTTGTCATTAGTCAAGTTCCAATTATGGACCGGTTTTATAATTTCCGTAGCAAGGGCAGTCACCATTCCAAACTACGAATGGCAGGTAATCAGTACCGCGGGCAATGCCTTTGCATCATCGTTGCTCTCCCTGAAGATCATCATTCGCGGAAAAGGGATGTGAAACGATCATGAGGAAACTTCGTGAGAAGCAAAATAAAATGCGTATATCAACACTGTTAGAGAAGTAATGATAATCCTTTGAATTAAGTAACATTTTATTATTTTTACTTTCGTGTGTATCAAAATGTAAATTAATCCATTTCTGTGGTTGAGTTGCTTAATTTCAAAATAAATAACGTCCATATTAACGTATGTATCTAGTAAATAATAAACTAAATTTGAGTCAAGTTTAATACATGTTCTTGAGTTAAATTTTTTAACTCCACTGTTTCAGTTAAATTAACAACATGTTGAGTAAAAGCAGTGGCGATATATAAAAACGCTTAAAAATGACTCAAATTGGATATAATTTGACATTATATATAAATTTAACGGTAAAGATAAGGGCATAAAAAATAATATTTCTTCTACAAGACATCAGTCATAATGTAATCATAATTCAGACAGAAGAAAATAAGTTCAAAGTAGTTCGTGAAACATATACTTCGATTAAGATAAAAAATCATGACCTCATTTTGCGAGTAGTGGAAAGAATGGATTGGGTAAGAATGCAATTCGCAGTAATAATAGGATATCAGATATTTATGGAGCAACACGACGCGATGTCCGATAGCCCGGAACTTTGTTGTAAGTTATCTACTAAACAAAATAGATATGATGCGCTTGCTGGATGGGTGTGCCTATGATTGTTTCGCCAAAGAGAATCTCGTCCGAGGAAAATAACGGTCATGATTCAGATCGTCGCACTGCGATCTCCGGTATCACAAATAAGCGGTTTCACGCTTGCTTAGATCAACACGGAAATGTCAGTGGACGGTGACAAAAAGATCATCCTAAGAATTTCTATTACCACAATGATCCATAAAATAATGTAAGAGGTTTATACGCCTTTTATTATATGTATATGATAGCTTTGTAATAATTTACGGTGTAGCAGACCAAATAATAGTACATTGCATTTATAAGATTGAAGCAGATGTGAAATGTAGGAAGCAGATGAAGTATATAGATTGGAGCAAATAAAGTAGTAGTATCTAAAATGTAGGAAATGGAGAAATTTCCTACACACAGATTTTTATCAAACTGTACACGGAAAGAACGATTTTGCTGAAATATCTAAAATTTAAGCTATATACCTAGATAGAGATCTGATAATAATTTTGTTAGTCCATAAAAATATATAGAAACTTAAGCATTGTGAGTAATGCAGCGAAAAATTTTTAGTATTCTAGCAATCAACTTGAATGTCCTACATAATTACTTTATTAATTTAACGAAATTTCAAATCTATATCTACCTAAATTCAGATGACTTCATCAAAATCGTTCTTTCCGCATACAATGTACACGCAAAAGATTGTAAGAAAATCTTAATAAAAACTTGCTAAAATACTTTCAGTTCTGTAAACGGCTGCATGATTCGAGATAATTGTGCTAACTTTGACGAGACTCGCTTGGAGTAATTCATAACTGCGATAGTTCACGGTTATTACGTTACATTAAGACAATATCTATATGCGCCCGACGAAACATTGTTGCCCGTTACCTAACGAAGCGCATGCATAGGTGTACGTGGGATGGGCGTGTCGACGATTGTTTCGGATTTCTCCAAAGAGGATCTCGTTAGAAGAAAGTAACGATCGTGACTCGACGCCCGGCGAGCATCAACTCGGTGGTCTGGATTAAACGATTTCGTGAACTAATCGCTTCTACATCAACGCGAAAATTCGAACACGCCGCAGCCAGAATCCTGAATAATAAATCCTATCTGTTAACATTTTTTCTTTTTCGTAAAATCTGTTATGCAAAAATGAACGAACCCATAACGTTATAGAATAAATGGAATTAAAAATACTAGATTTTTTTTATGAAAACCAATTATATTTTATTTTTTAATTTTGCGAATTAATTAGGATTTTGTATAATACTTAACTGATAAAGAACATCGTGGATGTGATCGTTATGAGAACCATCATCGTGATGCAATTATTAAAAGAATTTCAAGTTTAAAGTTTCTCATTACAATTATATCTATAATCTATAGATACCGCGTTTCTCGTGAAATAATTGCGGACATAATGTCACAGTCACTATGTTTAAATCCCGTTTAATAACTAATAATGAGATAAGATTGACCAATATTTTTTTCTAAAGATAAATTTACTATTTTTCCTCGTGCAAACCGGCTTCTATAATCACGAAAGCGGTAGATGGATTAATTTTGTTTACGGTAAACCGTGCAACGGCGCTGCGCATAAGCTCCTTCAAGATGGGCCGCAGACAGTGCGAGATAAGAACGAGGTGACCAATGACCCGGGGCTTCGTGACAGGCGCGCCTCTAGGAAGTTATTCGACATACTACTTCGTTCACCCCTCGCTTCTCTTTCTTTCTCTTCGAATACTTTCTTGGCGTGAACGTGCGCGTGAACTTCCGCGGTTACATCTGAGTGCAAGCGATTCTTATTATGAGATCGACCAAACGATGATGTAATTAATGTGAAACTTAGTACCCACTATTGGGTCGAAGCGAAAGTTTTGCTGGCGAATCAATGCTCCCATCCACGATCGGCGATAGGCGCGATAGTGCTTTTCAATAGATACTTACAAGCGATATAATACTTTCATACCTTTTCAGAGAAAACTCGAATTCCTACTGAGGCATAATTCCCATAGTATAAATGTACTACATTTAGTTTACTTTTAGTGTTGGATATCTTTTTCATGATCTATATTGAAATCTTTATGGTTTAACTTTTTAAACAACAGCGTTTCAATATAAATAGACATTAAAATTTAATTAAAGCAAATTATTTCATTAAACGCTCTATTCATCGAAAAAGGAAAACAAATATCTCAGCCTGTGTTCATTTCCGTTTCTGAGAATGAATTCATGAGGAAGCCCTTATTTCTCTTCACTCATGGCACGGATTTTTTCCCTAAGACCTAAATTAACTTCAAATTGCGAGAGAAGATTCTATCTTTAAGGCATCATCTCTCCGACAGTTCTGGGGCACTCTGCGCGGACGAGTTTCTTGCCGACCCGACAGCTCCTCCGACCAACTCCGGACGCCGCGCCGTAACATTACGAAAGCGGTCCAGCGGTGCGACCGGCCGGCATAATTGCACGTCACGTGCATATGCCTAGGCATAATTAGATTAATGCACCACGAAATTGGATTAAGAAACCGAAGCCGACGGCCCCGATCTCCCGCGCCAACCCCGCGAAAAGCGCTCAAGGCGGAACACGTTTCTCCCCGAAACGCCACGGGGTTAATTAATCTTCGCCGGAGAGCGGGTGGTAAACGACGCGTCACGTACAAAGACGGAACGCGTATAAATCATTTCGAGTGCACGTCGCGTCGCACGGCGAGCCAGCGAGGCGGCTTCCGCGCGTAGATTGCAAGCGTTAATCGCAAGCCGGTTTAGAAAAGAGCACCAAACCGCTATGGAGAAAACACATCTTGGAAATTTTGCACTAAAGATTCAGAGATTTAAGTCGACATTGCACGGCAGTCAGAGATATCTTTAGAGATTCTGGAGAACAACATTTAAACTTTTAACACATCGTAATTTAAAACCTTAATTCTTTCATCTGAAATAACTGCTAAATTAGCATTAGTAATAAGAATGAACTACGCAATCCTATAAAGTTGTCACTACCGATTTAGAAAGAGTATGGCTTAAGCATATCATCTTTGCATTTCTTTATTTTTATTTTGTAGATATTATTATTTTAGGTCACCTTTTCGTTTTTTTTATTTGTCATTTTTATAATCTCAGAGGACTTACCCATGAATAAACGTCTTTATCTATTAATCTATCTGAAATATCGAGTTGAAGAGAAATGTTGTTAAAATTAAAGAGAGATACTGGTATGTATTCTGGTATCAATTCTTTCTAACGAAGAAGCTAAATCGGTATTTATAGTTCGTTCTTATATTTAAAACCGTCTTAAATATAGTTTCGAGATGTCGCAAGTCAATCACAGAAGTAGCATTTTAAGACATTACTTAAGATGTTCATGTTCTTATATTTAAAACTATCTTAAATATAGTTTCGAGATGTCGCAAGCCAATCACAGAATTAGCATTTTAAGACATTACTTAAGATGTTCTTGAAATAAGAACGGACTGTGAATACCTAAGCTCAGGAATGCGCAGTCTAACCTATTACGTTTATGGAAATTAGAGATCAGGAATGCGCAGTCTAACCTATTACGTTTATGGAAATTAGACAAAC